AGCTGTTCTGAATTGTTTTAATTGTTGTAAGTACTAATTTTTAATATGAAACTTTAAAAGAACTAAAGCCGCAGTGATTAAATAAACATTTTAAGTACCTAGAACAACAAGAACAATTTAGAGCAACAAAAAATATGTGATTTTGCAAAATTAATGTTCGTGTTAAACGTAAAACACATCTAGAACAATTTGAATCGGCAAAGTTTGAGTTATTTTAGATTGTTCTATGTTTTTTAATTCTTATTGTGTAATATAAAATCGCTGACACAAGAATTACTGACTGAAACTTCGAAAAACTTGAATTTTCAAAGAGTAAAGTGCCCTTTAGATAGTTGTTCTAGTGAAAATAATAGCTGTTCCAGATTGCGTTAGCTATAATAAGTATATATTTTTAATATGGAATTGATAATAGAAAAACTATGGTCACAGCAATCAACTAGAGATTTAGGCAGCCAAACCTATTTTTAGTAATAACTTCGTAAAGCTGTATCCCATAATTTTGATTTTCTAGAACAATAACTAGAACAACTAGAACAACCCAGAACAACAAAGAAAATTTGATTTTTCCAAAAATGGGGGGCTAGTCAATAAACCCGTTTTTTCGGTTTTCTCGCGGAGTTTTTATTTTTTCGATTTGCCACTTTGGAACAATGTAGAACAACTCTAGAACAATCTAGAACAACAATAAAAAATTTAAAAATCAAAAAATGGGGGGCTAACTTCCCGCACTCCCATCAGTTGGTGCAACAACCAATCGAATGGAATTCTGGTAGGACAATGTTAAACGGAGCTGCCTCCTTGTTCACCCAAACCTTTTATGGATGTGTTATCGTTTATTGTATACGAGCCCTAACAACTACACAGGGTCATCCACGACGACCGTCCATTAGAACTATATGTATAGGGTTCTGTCCAAAATAAAAATTTGAAAATTCAGATTTAAGTACTATCAATTGCATTCTCTTCGACTAAAATATTTTCAGATTTCCCCTGTATATTTTTACATATTTGGATTTCTCTGTTTTCAAGTTTTTCTAGAAAAATCTGCTCCAGCAGACATTTGTTCAAAATTCAGAGAACACTTGATTTTTAGGATATCAATTTAGAATTCAGAACATGCTTAAGCAACATGATGGAGTATGTTTTGGTGCCGAGTACGGCTGTCTAGAACGTTTGGTCACTTTACTACGGCACGGTAACTTTTCGAAACTTGGAAGTACCATAACTTCGTTTTTTTAAATGGCACCCCCTATATTTTATTACTTAAGCTCGTTACTACCATCTTCTGGTTATGCTATCTAAGGGATTAGCACAGTTACGGCTATTTTATGCGTTCTGATTGACTAGTAGATGGGTTTACCTATAAGATAAATTTAACTAAAAGATGGTAGTAATGTACCTTAGTCGTCTTCGGTGTCTAATTTTACAACTTTTATATCCTATATGTCCTATACCTAACATTTATAGTTTGGGAGATAATTAGGTTTTTTTGAAAAATGCACACATCATATCGATATTTAACCTAGTGTGTCATGAATACCTAGAAATTTTTGAAAATTTGTAGTCTTGTGACGTTTGATGCCAGCTTTTTAGCTAAAATATTTTCAGGTTCCGGGTACTTGTGGTTACATCGGACGAGGTGACAATTTTCATACTTTAAATGGAACCCTGTATTTTATTACATTTTTGAAAATTTTGTTCAATTTTAGGCCACTTGTATGTTACACATACTATACCTAAGTTGAGTCACTTTTGAGAGTTTAATTTTTTGTAATAAAAAATGTTAACTACATACAACGTAATTTATAAATCATCTACTCTGACTGCCGGAAAAAAAATTTTGTGTTGGGAATGTTGTAGTGTTTATGTATTATCGGAGGATCAATAAGGAAAAAATAAACAGTTTGACATTTGCTAAAGCTATGGTTTACTTCTGTTGGTGTGATGACTAGGTTACTTTTTGTAGTGATCTGTTCACGTCAGTCGAAAATATTTTAGTCGAAGAGAACGCAATTGATAATACTTCAATCTAAATTTTCAAATTTTTATTTTGTGACGGTAGACGTGGATGATCATGTATATTGGGACATATAGAATTTATATACAGGTGTTTGATAATTCATAATATATGCGCAGACCTTCAGGATGTGATAGCTTGTCCAAAAATTTGAAAAAAAGTTCCTATCGACTTACCCTCTAAAATGCACCATTTTCGAGACAGGGTGTTGAAATTTAATAAAAAAATTGTTTTTTGCGAATATCTCCGGACCTGTTTATCATACAGAAAACAGCGTTTTCTAACGTTCTAACGTTTTAGTCAAATAAAATTTTTATTTCAAAAAATTGACCATGTTATTCAACATAAAAGTTGATTTTTCTCGAAAACGGTCTTCTTTAGAGCTCATGACCTTCAGTGCCTTTTTTGTGTAGAAAACATTGGCGGTACAAATGGGCGTCTCAAAATCGTACTTTTTCCAGTGGCGTAGAACATCAACAAATACTACAAATCAGCTTACTACTAAGTATCGTGAAATGAAATGTTGGTGAAAATTACATATTTCAGCGGGATGGAGCGGCTTGTCATACGGCCAAAACTACAAAAAAGGGTTTTGGCGATCAAAATAATAATGTTCTGTCTTAGCCTTCCAACAGTCCAGATCTGAATGTAATTGAAACAGTATGGCACAAAATGAAACAAACTTTGAGGAACAAATTTAGGATGGATTTACTTCTGAACAGTGCAGAACCTTAATGAATTCAATGCCCAAGCGAATTCAAGCGGTTATAAAATCTAAGGGTGATGTTACTCCATATTAGAAATACAAATCATGCCATGTCCCAATATTAAGTTGTCAGGTAAAATGTACATTTTTCTGGTTTAATTAGAAGTAATAGGATATGTATTTTGTTTTTTTTTTGTGGTTCATTAGACAAAATTGTTGTTAATTATCTAATTAAACGATATTAATCTGAAAAAATTATTAAAACAAAATAAACTGTTTAATTGTTGTTAACTATACGTATACACATTTTATTTTGTCCCAATATACAGATTGTCCCGCAACGATTGTACAATACTTCACCAGCGTATTCTCGGATCGAAAATAGACAAAAAAGTCTAATAAACATAGGTCCGAAAATGGACCATTT